TTCATAAGACTCCAGGGCTTTAGATTACATTCATTGCATAGAACAGTTTCACGCCCTTGAACCTTTGCCCAAGCTGTTCCCTCCACAGGGGCAAAACCAGCTCTTCCCAGACCACACCCATCTGACAAACACCTGTTCATCCTTCAAGACTTCAAACTTCAAACAACTGTCTCTCCCCTGTGAGAGGCTTTGAACCTTTAACAAATTAAATGAAAGATTGCTGGTAAAGCACATGACACAGTGCCTGGCACACAGTAAGTGCTCAAATGAATAGGAGCTCTTAGAACCCACTGCAATTCTTTATCTACCCCCTCATTTATCTATCTTATTTATAACTGTAGCCCAATGCCAGCACAGCACCAAGGACATGCATATAAATATTTGCCAAAAGAAAGACGGAGGACCTCCCCAACACTCCACCTCAGCCAAACTGGTCTATTCAGTGATTCCCCAAATGTGCCTCTTACCATCACCCCACCCCCATACCTTTTCATAAGCTCTTCCTCCTTCCCGAGTACCCTTCTTCTCCTCTGCCTCCACCTAACTAGACCCTCTGAGACCATCTTCAGGGACCTGTGGACTGTAACCCCAGGGGGGCTGGGAGGATCTCCAGGACCACCCCCCCGCTCCACTGGCACACAGTGGGCCCATAAGAGATTGACCTCAGCCCTAAATGAGCCAGCAAATGCTGGCCAAGGGTTTGGAGATTTGGGAGAACGTTCTCAAGGTTAGCAGAGGCCCGCCACCTGCCCAGTGACAGGGAACCCCCAACAGCTGGTGAATCTGTACCTGTGGTCATGGGAGGGGCCTCTGTGGCAACCTGTGACCTAAGGCCACAGTCCAGAACTGAGTCACTGTGCTTTATGATCCCTGAGTGCAGACCAAAGGCTCACTTTATGGGGAGAGGAGGGTGTGCCCATCCACAGATAGGTGAGGGGCAAGGCCCAGCACAGGGCTCAGAGTTGCCACAAGGACCCAAAGTCTACTAACATGGGGGAGAGGTGGTGGGGAGGGGAAAGCAGGCCAGGGAGTCAGAAAGGTGATCTGCAGTCCCAGCCCTGTCCCGATTGCTACTGAACTCTCCTTGGACCAAGACAACTCTCCTTGCCCAGCCCTAGAAAAACTTCTAAGATCGGAGGTGCGGGCAGCCCAGGTGGCTCAGTGGTTGAGCATTTGCCTTCAGCCCAGAGCCTGATCCTGGAGACCCGCGATCGAGTCCCACGTCGGGCTCCCTGCATGGAGCCTGCTTCTCCCTCTGCCTGTGTCTCTGCCTCTCTCTCTGTGTGTCTCTCATGAATAAATAAATAAAATCCTTTAAAAAAAAAAAAAAAGATCGGAGGCACTTCCCTGTTCTACGGAGCAGCTCTTTGAAGAGAACGCAGAAGAAAAAGAAATCAACAGCAAATAATCAATGCCAATTCAGTAACAGCAGGTAACATTTATCAGGCTGTGACCCTTCACCTGGCATTGTGCTAGGTGCTCTATAAACATCATCCTGTCCCAGTTTCAACCTGGGAGAGGTCCTTCATGGCTTCTGAGCCTCAGTTTTTCCATCTGTAAAATGGAGATAATACTAGTTTCCACACCATGCAGTAAGCATCGTAAGCTATTGGCATTATTATTACTATGATTCCTAGGATTTTACAGAGGAGAAAAGAGAGACCCCGAGTGGTCAACTCACTTGCTCACTGCCTCTATCCAGTGCCAGGGCCACACTGGCCTGACCCCTGCTCAGGGTCTGACCAGACTATGGGCCAGCCAGGTGTGGGCAGGACTATGCAAATCAGCAGGGCATCAGTCCTGGCAAGGCCCAAGCACCCCTCAGAGGGCGGCGGTGGCAGAAGGCGGGCGGCTAACCTTGGAGGCCAAACAAATAACACATTCTCACCCCCAGGCCCGAGGTTGTCTTGCTTCCCTGTGAGCTGACGGGCTGAGCTCCATAGAGCTGGAGAGGGGCCAGCAGGGCTGGCAGCCAGCCAAAGACACAGTCCCGTGGCAGAAAGGGCCCAGGACCAAGGCTGGAAGCAGATGAGGCCGTGTTTCCATTCCAGCTTCCCTGCTTGCAAACTGTGTGGCCTTGGGCAAGTGGCTTAACCTCTCTGAGCCTCAGCTTCCTCCTCTACAACATAGGATTCATACTCCCTAACACAAGGAGTGGAGCAGGGATGGACAAGTCCTGAGACACAGACTCAAAAAATGGAGCTGAGCCTTCACCTAAGCCAGCAGCACAAGAGTCATTATCAGATGATGTTTTATGGGAGAACCCCTCAAGCACGTCAGGAAGCACACTGTGCAGGCCTGACCAGCTTACTGAGAAGGAGGGGCGACCAGCAGGGCCAAGAGCTCAGGACCCCAGTCCTCACCTGGAGGGTCCCTGTGACTGAGTCAGGCCTTCTCTCTAGGCCTTGAAGAGGAGGAAGGGGGAGACAAGAAGATATGCACTCAGGGCAGCCCCACATCCACTGATGCTTCCCTCTTCTGAGTGCTGAGCAAGGTCATTTCCTGCTCACAGAAGTGCTCTTGAGGCCAGACAGGACCAGCCTCATTTTGCAGGAGAAAAAATAGAGGTTCACTGAGGTCCATCAGATCAGTTGCCCACAGTCACACAGTGGCAGAGCCGGAATCGGAAGCCACTGCTCAGCTTCCAGAGCCCAAGGCTGAGGTCCCCGGAATGAGGCATTTGGAGCCATCGGAATGTGAGCTGGACACCACCACCTCCTGGTGGCCACTCCCTGGAATTGCAGGTGTGAGTCTTCAAAGCAGGAAAATGAGGTCTGAGGGCCCCCTCACCCTTCCCACCTGTATCGGAGAAGAGGAACTCAAGCAGGCAGCAATGGGGCAGGGACCTTGGGCAGCCACAAGGAGAGAGCCAAGGTGAGCCACCTGGGGATCCAGGGACAAAGGCTCCTCAATGACAGACAGTGGGCCACCAAGGGGATGCCAGCAAGCAGAGACTATAAAAAGACAGGCCTTCAATGCTTTTCTCTCTACAACCTCTGTCTTCACATACACACACAAAAGGTCAAGTACAATCAGATAAACTGAGTCGGTGCCACCGGAGAGGCAATGAGAAAAGAGTAAGGAAGAAATTTGTGGAAGGGAATGTTTAACAAAAAAACAGGCAGGTTTCAAATGTGTGTACATCTGCAGCTGGGATCTGAGCACCCGAGGAGGCTTTCTGGGGCTGCTCAGCAAAAGGTTATGAGGTCTGTGTTCCTGCTCTGGCTCTGCAGCCCCCAGCCTTGCTGTCAACCCTGCAAGCCCTGGTATAGATGTTCCCCCATCAAGAACCCTGCCAGGGCATCTTCTTCACCCCATGTTGCAGAGAAGCAAACTGAGTTTCAGGGAAGTGAAGTGTCTGGCCCATGACCAAAAGGCCAGAAGGGATAAAACCTAGGATTTAAATACTAGAGGATCCCATGTCTCCAAAAGAGACCAGGCACAAATACCATTGACATGCATAGACCTTGTGATCCAGATGACCTCATGAGTAGAACTGGGGTTGCCTTATTAAAGAAACCCCTATTGTAGATGCTCCACATGGGGTCTGGGGCCCTAACGGGACTTCCTTTTTTTTTTTTAATTATTATTTATTTATTTATTTATGATAGTCACACATACAGAGAGAGAGAGAGAGAGAGAGAGAGAGGCAGAGACACAACACAGGCAGAGGCAGGCTCCATGCATCGGAAGCCCGACGTGGGACTCGATCCCAGGTCTCCAGGATCGCGCCCTGGGCCAAAGGCAGGCGCCAAACCGCTGCACCACCCAGGGATCCCCCCTAACGGGACTTCCTGAGCAAGTGTAGAACTCAGCCGATCTTCAAATATCATGGAACTTCAGTCGAAAGAAGAGAGAGAGAGAGAGAGAGAGAGAGAGAGAGAGAGAAAGAAAGAAAGAAAGAAAGAAAGAGAAAAGAAAGAGAAAGGGAAAGGAAGGGAAGGGAAGGGAAGGAAAGGAAAGGAAGAAAAGAGATGGAAAAGAAAATCCCAAGAAATGGGAGGTGTCAGCGTCTGGGGAGATGCCCCAGCATCCTGCTGCATCACTGACCCACTTCCTTTCATAAGTCAGGAAATGGACTCAGAGAGGGCAAGTGCTGCCCCAAAGAAGCACAGCTCAGTGAGAGCCAAAGAGAGATTCAAAAACAAGGATAGGGCAGCCCAGGTGGCTCAGCGGTTGAGCATCTGCCTTCAGCCCAGGGTCTGATCCTGGAGTCCTGGGATCGAGTCCCACATTGGGCTCCCTGCATGGAGCCTGCTTCTCCCTCTGCCTGTGTCTCTGCCTCTCTCTCTCTCTCTCTCTCATGAATAAATAAATAAAATCTTTAAAAAAAAAAGGATAATAATAATAGTAATGGTAACGATAACACTCATTGAAGCGTTTGCTGTGTACCCAGGACCATGCTGAACACTTGCTGCATTATCTTCTCTGAGCCCCACAGCAGCCCTGTGATGTACATGCTTTCATTATCCCCATTTCACAGATGAAGAGACTGAGGCCAAATGCCTGTCTGCACACAAAGCTAGGATCTGAGCCCTGGTGATCTGGCTCCAGGACAAGCTTAGTTAAATTAACTCATCGGCGCAAAAGAAACAGAAATCAAGATCCTGTTTTCTAGGCAAAGAAACCAAAGCACAAAGAAGTAAGTTGCTAAAAGAGACTGCGAAGAGCGGTATTGGGATTCGAACCCAGAACTTTCAGAGCCCACGGCATGTTCTCTTATTTGTTCTACACCAGGCAGCTAGGGTTACCACTCTGCATTGGGCTGGAAACCCGAGAGGAGAGAAGGCTTCCTGGCAGAACCACCAAACACCCTCTACATCGAAAACCGCTAGCCAGCCAATCCAGCAACACCAGCTCCCTGGACAGGCACCTGTCCACCTTCGGCCCCCTCGGGCTCCTGGGCCAGCCTTGACGGTCCATAGGACCACATTCCCAGTGATGTCTGATGCCCAGCACCCTTGCACAAGTTCCAGTTGGGCCATGCCAGCACCACTCACCACAAAGGGCCCGCTCCTCTTGTCCTTGCAGAAACTGTGGCTTCTCCGGGTGCCCGAGGCTACAGGGGACACCTGCCAGAGTGGCTTCTCCTTGTCCTGCAGGGCATCCTCCTTCTCCAGGTCCTGAGCCAGTACCTGAGGCACAGAACACAAGCAAAGAACTTTACTGGGGCTTTCCATTTACAGGAAGAACATGTCACAGCGAGAGAGTCCATTCCTAAAATGGACTAAAATGTACCTAAAAGCGCAAAAAGAAAACTAAAGCGCCAGAAACCCCACCCCATGACAGTCTACCTTAATGACAGGAGGTGGTAAGTGGGGTCTGGGTTCAGCCCAGCCTCAGACACTAAATAACTGTGTGGCCTTAGGTTAGTGCCTTAACCTCTCTGCATCTGGACCATGTGGGAAAAGACTCCTAATAACAGCAGTCAGCTTCTAGGCTTTGGGGAGAACCCAGTGAGGAGCAGTGTATGGAAAGTGTGTAACACCATGCTGTCACCAGAGAGCGATGCGCACAGGTCCTGGGCACCTGGCTTCAGGCTCATCTCCCCCATGCCCGGTAGGTAAGTAGGGAGTCCTCCATAAATGTCAGCCAGCCTCATTACTGCCACTAGTAACTTTTGGTGACTTCCCCCAAACACACATACACAGAAGCACAGATACAGGGAGAAAAGATGTATGAACGGGCAGTACTAGATAAACCTAGTCTGAATCAGGCAGGGTTTTCTTCCAGCCAGTTATATATAGGGGATAGATTCACAGGCCAGTAAATATGAGACATCAAGTCCTCCCTGGCTGTTCTTTCTTAGCCTCCATGCATCACAGAGGGACTTCTACTCATCCAGGGCCAGCCCCAGAGCCTTCTCCTTTCCTGTTCCATCACTCCCTCAGGGATCTCTCATAACATCACCTGGCGTTACATAAATCCCATCTGTGCACAGGCAACTCCCAATTTTGTCTGTGTCAGGACCCCTGACTCGCAGGGCCCCACTGCTCGCTCCACATCTCCCTGTACTGCTCACACTCATCACAGACCTCTCCATTCCTTCCCCCCAAAACTGTTCCTCCGCCCTGCCCATCACCCAGCTGTGCCAGCCAAGACCCTCAGGTTGGCCTCTGTCCTTTGGCTTCTCCCAACCTCATCAACAAAGCTGAGACTCTGCCTTCGAAACATGCTGCAAACTTCACAGCATAAACCAAAATCAACTCAAAATAGATCAAAGGCCTTAAGGCCAGAGCGAAGGCTAGAAAACTCTCAGAAGAAAATATAGGTGTAAATGTTCATGACCCTGGATTAGGAAGCAGTTTCTCTGATATGGCATCAAAAGCACAAGTCAAGTGACCAGAGAAAAATAAATTGGAGTTCATTAAAATGAAAAACGTCTTTGCTTCAAAGGATACCACTGAGAAAGCAAAAAAACACAACTCACAGAATGGGAGGAAATTTCTGCAAATTCTACGTCTGCTAAGGCACTTGTGTCCAGAATATACAAAGAGTAATTACAACTCAATAATAAAAAGAACAATAACCCAGTTAAGAATAGACAAAGGAGGGGATCCCTGGGTGGCGCAGCGGTTTGGTGCCTGCCTTTGGCCCAGGGCGCGATCCTGGAGACCCGGGATCGAATCCCACGTCGGGCTCCTGGTGCATGGAGCCTGCTTCTCCCTCTGCCTGTGTCTCTGCCTCTCTCTCTCTCTCTCTGTGTGTGACTATCATAAATAAAAATTAAAAAAAAAAAAACAAGAATAGACAAAGGATCTGAACAAAGAAGGAACACACATGGTCAAACAGGCACATGAAAAGATGTGCCATGGAAAACACAAGTCAAAACCACAATGAGAGACCTTCATACACAGTAGGATGGCTAGAATCAAAAAGACAGATGAGCATTGGCAAGGATGTACGGAAATCAGCCCTCATGCACTGCTGGTGGAATGGAATGTACAATGGTGCAATTGCCTTGGAAATCAGTGGCTCCCTTATACTCTGTGCCCCCCTCTTCTGAACCATGCCCACTGGCACCCTTCCAGCATCCATAGGACTGGCTCATTCCCACCACAGCCAACACTCAAGTGGTATTTTTCAGGTCCCCTCCCCAGGTGACCTTCCCCTGACCACCCTCTTAGAGTCAGCTCCCCATCACCTCTTCTTCTATCTCCCCGGAACTTAGTACTCTCGCTCACTTAAGGTTTGTCCCCCTAGACTGAAGCCATCTGCTGGAACATCCTGTGATTATGGAGATGTTCTCTATCTGGGCTATACAATACAGTTGCCATGAGCCACCCTTGACTTTTGAGCACTTGAATGTGGCTACCAGGACCGAGGTATTGAACTTTTTTTTTAAAGATATTATTTAATTATTCATGACAGACACACAGAGAGAGGCAGAGACATAGGCAGAGGGAGAAGCAGGCTTCCTGTGGGGAACCTGACACAGGACTCAATCCCAGGACCCTGGGATTATACCCTGAGCCAAAGGCAGATGCTCAACCACTAAGTCACCCAGAACTTTTAATCTTATTTAACTTTAACTAATTTACATTGAAAGAACCACATGTGGTTGCCTTATTGCATGGCACAGCCTGATACAGTGGGCTGGTCCCTCCCAGCAGCCCCAGGGCCTAGAACAGGGCCTGGCACTGGGTTAGCCCATTTATTAAATATAGTAAATAAACAGAGGTCTGGAGGTTCCCTCAAACCTCTTTCACATCAGGCCCTGGGCCAGGGGCTTGACCACACATTACTTCACCATAAATCTCCAACAAGCCATGAAGTAGACAGGACTCACATTCCAGATGAAGAAATTGAGGCTCACAGAGGTCTGGCAAGATGCTCAAGATCACACAGCTAATAAGTCACAAAGCTAGGGCCCGATCCTAGGTCTGCCCAATAGGCAGTCCAGCGTAGCTCCCGAGGAGAAATTGAATCGTAAGTGTACAAATGGTTCACCTTCCTAGTAAAGAACTCCAACAACTCCATGAGAAAAGGACCAAGGACCGTGTTCCAAAAGAACAGTGGGCAAAACATAAGCAAGCAGGGGGGGGGGGAGGAAAAACAAAAAGCCTCACTTGTCACTCAGGTGACAAGATGAGGGGCACTCGTCTGGAGCATCACATCCAGAAGTCTGGTAATGCACCTGGCTGCTCAGGCCGAGGGGAGACGGGTCCCTGTCACTGTCGGCAAGGATTTAACCACACTGTCGGCAAGGATTTAACCAGGTGCGGCCCCCGGCGCAGAGCACTCTGGTGTGACCTCTGCAAAATTACAACCACACTCCCTTTATTTTTTTTTTATTTTATTTTATTTATTTATGATAGTCACAGAGAGAGAGAGAGAGAGGCAGAGACATAGGCAGAGGGAGAAGCAGGCTCCATGCACCAGGAGCCCGACGTGGGATTCGATCCCGGGTCTCCAGGATCGCGCCCTGGGCCAAAGGCAGGCGCCAAACCGCTGCGCCACCCAGGGATCCCCCACACTCCCTTTAGACTCTCGCCATTCTAAGTACACAGGCAAACCCTGCCCGAGTGCAAAATGACATCTGAATGTGGTCTGTCATTAGCACAAGATCAGGAATATTCACCCCTCTCTAACCATACAGCAGTCAAAACGGACGAGGAATCTGAAAGCTCTCAGATTCACAACATATAGGGAAAAAAGGCAAGTGCCAAATCTAACAAAGGTGGGCCCCACCCCAGGGATTCCAACCAACTGGTCAGGGTGAGACCCTGCAAGGCTCTCTTTTTGGGTTGCCTGGATTACTCCCACATGCAACCAAAGTTTCAACCCCCTGCAGAGGATGCTCTCTTTGATGGAAAAGAGAGGCAAGAATAAGAATGTGTGTTCCTATTTGCTTGTATTTTCAGAAAGAAACTCTATGCATTTGGGCCAGAAAAGAAGCTAAGTGGTCACAGGATGGGAGGAATGCCGATGATGGCAAGGGAGGTACAGGGAGGTACAGGCTGCCTCCCATGCCTTTAAGTATTATTGGAGCCTCTTGAGAATGTTCTCTCTTTTGAAATTAAAATAAATCATTTGATTAAATAGAATACTGCAGTCGGGACTGGGACAAAGTTTTGAAAAATGTTTCTTAAGTGAAAAAGAAAAAGAAAGAGGAGGAGGGAGGGAGGGCAGGGGGATCACTTTAAGTATGATCGCACCCCATGTGGGGTGCATGAGCAGCACTGGCTGTGCATCAAGAAAGCCTCACCCATAGGAGCAAACATGCACCAAGATGCTTGCTAAAGCTGTTTCCAATACAAAAACCCTAACCAACCCAAATGTCCATCAACAAGTGGCTGGATATGGGGGATCCCTGGGTGGCTCAGTGATTTAGTACCTGCCTTTGGCCCAGGGCGTGATCCTGGAGTCCCGGGATCAAGTCCCACATCAGGCTTCCTGTATGGAGCCTGCTTCTCTCTCTGCCTGTGTCTCTTGCCTCTCTCTCTGTGTCTCTCATGAATAAATAAATAAAATCTTAAAAAAAAAAAGGTTTAAAAAGGTTTAAACCGGATAAAAAAGGTTTGGGCTCAGTCACTTAATAAAATACTTTGCAACCACTAAAAATGACAAGGTGATTATCTACACACTGGTTTTTTTATTGTTAATTTTTTTAAAGAATTTATTTATTTATTCATGAGAGACACACAGAGAGAGGCAGAGACACAGGCAAAGAGAAGCAGGCTCCCCACGGGGAGCCTGATGGAAGATTCAATCCCAGGACCCCAAGATCATGACCTGAGCCAAAGGCAGATATTCAACTGCTGAGCCAACGAGGGGTCCCTTATTGTTAATTTTTTTTTAAGCAAGTTGTAAGATTTTTTTGTAGAATATTACCATGTTTCCATTAGACAGCATGTTATTTGCCTATGTCTTTATCTGGTTGGGTTTCTTTGCGGAGCTATACACATTAGGGACTGGATGATTCTCACTTCTGGTAGCAAACATCCCTGCCTCCACCCACTAGATGTGGGGAGAAAACTCTTCCCTGGTGGTGACAACAGAAAAATGTCTCACACTTCACCAAAGGTACCCTAGAGGGCAAAACTACCTGTGGTTGAGAACCCCTGGGAGGCTGTACACCCAGACTCATCATTTAGGGGAGCCTCGCATTCTAAACGCTATGCTTCCATAATACGTTCACTTTCACACAAGTGTTCACTATTCTTGCAGTAAGGAAAATATAATTACAAATAAAGACGCATAATGGGGCACCTGGATGGCTCAGGGGTTGAGTGTCTGCCTTAGGCTCCAGTCATGATCCTGGGGTCCTGGGATGGAGTCCCACATCGGGCTCCCTGCAGGGATCCTGCTTCTCCCTCTGCCTATGTTTCTGCCTTTCTCTGTGTCTCTCATGGACAAATAAATAAAATCTTTAAAAAAACAACAACAACAAAGATGTACGTGATGGACAAGCTACTCTGTGGTATAGGAAAGCCCCAAAGATATCAAAAACTAACAGTGGCTGCATCTGTGGGATAGGAATGGAGAGGGGTTTGGGGGTACACTTTTTTAATCTACTCTTGTGAGCCCTGAATTTTTAACAACCAACATTTTGTACTTCTGTATGGCTTTTATTTATTTTTTCAAGATCTAGAACCAAAGCTGGTTGGACAGGAGAGAAGGGAAACAGGGAGCCAGTCCAAGGCTTCCCAATCCCTCGGTAAGAAAACAGATCCCCTGACAACGAGCACTCCTGGGGCCAGCACACCCCGGGCCAGCATCCAAGGCCAGGCTGGGGCCCCCTTCCATGCCGCCCTGACTCTTCCGCTGCCAGCAGGCCCCTGAGCAAGGCGCTGGTGGATAGATTCAGTGTCACATTTCCTTGTCCTCTCCCGTCTCCCGCTGTTCCCACAAGAACAGCCTCGTGAGCCCCTCCTGGGGCAGCGCGTGGGCAAACCCACAGGCTGGCCCTGAGCTGCCACGCACTGGGTGCTCAGTCCACGCTGCATCTCCATTCGGCCTACCCACAGAGCCGCCCGGGCAGAAATTTCTGTCAATTCTGGTGAGGCACCTGAGGCCCAGGGAGGCAAAGTGACTGCCTCGCACACAGCTGGTGAGCGGCAGAGTGGAGACTGGATGCGGTACCCGAAAAGCCTTCTCTGACCCTTTGTGTTGTGATCTTTATTGACATCATCCCACGGTTTTGCTTCTACAATGTCCCTGTCCAGGCCAGACTATCTACTTTCTTTTTCCAGATGAGATAGATGAGGCTCAGGCCCTCAGGGCAAGGGTTTGCCCTTCACCACTCAGTCTAAGGACAGAGGTGGGTTACTCTCATATGCAACCAAAGTTGCAGCCCCTGCAGCCCCTCCTCTCTTTGATGGAAAAGAGAGGCAAAAATAAGAATGTGTGTTCCTATTTGCTTGTATTTCCAGAAAGAAACTCTGTGAATTTGGACCAGGAAAGAAGCTAAGTACCAGTGGGAAGGATGCTGAGGATATGCAAGAGAGGCATAGGGGGATTTATATTCAGATTTCTTCCCCATCTTCAAGGTCCCATTTACCACCGAGTAGTTACTAGAAAGCCTGTGTATCTAGCCAGACCTGGGTTCAAACACTAGGTTGCCATGTGGTGCTGTGTGACCTGAGACAAGTTATTTAACTTCTCTGGGCTTGGGATTTTTTCCATCTGTACAAAAAGATCACATCTGCAGCAGACATTGTGGGTGCCCTGCCCCATGCTCAAGTACATGCCAGTGGCAATGGTGTCCTGCTGTGTGAGGAGTCCTCTCCACCACCAAGCGTGGCACCAGCCAGGATGGAAGAGTCTGAATGTTGACAGCCTCAGAAGTAGCCTCAGGCGAGGGCAGAAGGGAACTGGAAAATAAATACTCCAGGTACCTTGCCCATTGGACAGGACAAGTCAGGGGTGATCTATGCTACCTCCAGAGGACTCCAGTGAGAATGAACCCCAAATGCCCAGAGGGGCACCTTCATCACCAGCCTCCCGTTCCCTGCATCACTTCTCCACTGGGGACCCTGCCAGGGAGCACTTCCTAAAACAACTACTTGCAGGGCACCTGGGTGGTTCAGTCAATGAAGCGTCCAACTCGATTTTTGGCTCAGGTCATGATCTCAGGATCGTGAGATGGAGCCCCGCGTTGGGCTCTGTGCTCAGTGGGGAGTCTGCTTCTCCCTCTGCTTCTCCCCCTATTCGTGCCCTCTCACACGTGCTGTTTCTTGCTCTCAAACAAAAAAATAAATAAATAGATCTTAAAAAATAAAACAACCACTTGCAAGGGTCTGCTTCTATGGCAACCCAAACTACCAACAATCCCACAAAAGAGGGATCGTCATGAGACTCACAGAAGATGGCTCGTTCACTTATTCAACAAGTATTCCTTGCAGGTTGACAAAATGTCACGCATTATGCTGAATATTAGGGACACGATAATGAACTTGATACAATACACAGGAACAGGCAGCGGGTGCTCCATACATGTATGACTATCATCACTCTAGGCCAGAGCTTTCAAACTGGTGGCCCATGGACATCAAAAAGCAGCAGCAGCTGCCCTTCCCCCCCACCACAGGAAATGGGCTATTTGCCCCAATCCACACACCCGCCCCCCCACTCCCTAGAGTCCCACACTCGTCTGACTCCATTTATTTACATACCCACCCGGCCCCCAGGGTATGGGAGGTTGAGAGCCCTGGCCTATATCTTAATCAACGTTTTACAAAACTGACGCAGCCTTCCTACTCACCTTTAAACTGTCTCGAGTCCCCGACTCCCGCCGGCAGGGCCCCATTCTGGTCTCCTTGGCCTCAGAACTGTCTCCGGAGAGGCTGGACCTCCCTTTGGGCTGCTCTTGCCTCCTCTCTCTGGCTTCCTGCATGACACACAGGCCCTCTCGGATTTTGGCAGAGGGGCCTTTCTCCGAATAGGCCCTCTTGACATCCAGCAGTGGCCTGCCGCAGTCATATGGGTGATCACCCCACTGGACGGCACTGCCCTCCTCTCCCCTCCCAGCGGATTTCCTTGGGGTCCCTTTCTTCTGGTCAGTGGGAGAGGATCTGGCCAAAACGCAGGCCCCACCACCCAGATCTTCCCAGGGAGTGGGCTTTGACTCCGCTGGGTAGTTCTGATAGTTTGCACTCTGATGTTTACTAACAAAGTCCTTTCTGTCATCCTCGGGGATTCCCGAAACTTTTCTCCTGGGACCAGAAGAGGCCCCTGGATATTTTTCAGAAGGAGCCGAGAGGGGCAGAGCCCACAGAGGAGGGCTGAATTTGGTGTTCGCGGCTGCCCCTGGGGTCTCTGCCGGCTGCTTGCCTGAGCCAAGAGAAGAACTGTGGTTTGCTTCAGCAAAACTGGCTTGTGTCCGGACACCCTCGGCTTCAGACCTCTCCTTCCAGCTCCTCCTTCTCGGCTCTAGCCTGCCTTGCTGGCCTGGCCTCTCCTGAGTTGAGCCGCTGGGCACTGCAGGTGTACCCTCCACCCGCTCCTGAACCTCCTGCTTCTTGTACTCTGCCATCAGGGCGTCGATGTCCAGCACGCTGGATCTGTAGGCATCTTTGACTTTACCTGGGACCTTCACGCTGATCACTTCGGTGTCCCTTCTGATGAGGAGATCGCTGGCTTCTGGGTGACTTCTGGAAGCCGGGGGTGTTTTGGGGGCATTGCTGGGGGATGTCCTGCTCCCACTCTGAAAACTGGAGCCATCTTCTGGTCCCCAATGGATCCATAAAGCATCAGCACCCATGATTCTTTCACTAGAAGCATCCAGAACCCTGTCCCCAAGAGGCGATGGGCGGTCTGTTGGCTTCAGAGGTTTTGAATAGCTTGTGCCATCCCGCTCTTTGCCCTTAGACCAGTTGTTACTCCCCTTGGCCTCCAGTGGCTCTTCGTGGTTAAGAGAAACCAAGGCAGATATTCGAGAATGAGGAGAAGGAGGTGGGACTATTTTTCTAGAATGTTCTGTCAAGTTTTCAGGCCCTGACTTAACAACACTCTTTGCTTTTTGAGTATCAGGAATCTGATACGTCACCGCAAAAAATGTTGCCCTGGGTTCCAAAGAGGACCCTTGCTTCACTGCTGGCCGAGTCTGGTCCTGTGAAGCACCAGGGCTCACCTCCTGCGTCTCCACCCTACTGTGGGATGGCTCAGGTTTTCTTAAGGCACTGGTGGTGGGGCTCAAAGGTTCAGTTTGTCTGTGCTCCACCTTCCAAGAGTTTTCTGGGCCCAGGAAGCTGCATTCATCAAACTTCACGTCATGGGGCAACGTCCTCCGCCGCCACCTCTCGAATCTCTGGTCCACAGGGCCCGCCTTCCACATCTTGGCCTCAGGCTCCAGCGCCTGGGCCGGTGGTGGTTTGCCCTCACTAGCAGCGACAACTAGGGGCCCCTTCTGCACCTGCACGTCTGCACGCGGCTGTGCTCGGAAGTCAGAGGGCTCACCCAGGTGGGGAGCCCTTCCTCCTGCTAAGCTGTAGCCTCCTGACCAGGTTCTGGCCATACCAGGCCCCACATGTGGGGCCTCCCGGACAGCAGCCTGGACGGCCCTCCCTGAGGTGACTTCGGGACCGCAGGGCCTGGCTAAGTGCTCGCTGTTGCCCTCAGAGTTCAAATCTGAGCCTTTCTCTTCACTGGCCACCACGGTGGCTTTGTGCCAGTTCATGGTCACCCCACCTGCCCATTTGGGTGACAGGCTATTGCTCCCAAACGTGTCCTTTGGCTCTCGGGAGTCAGGCTTTGGCCCACTCGCTTCATGAAACCCTCGGGCTTCCCAAATCAAACTGACCCTTTGGACGGACCCAACCTGACCTTCCAGCCTGCACTCTGGGTCAGCAGGGGTGACCTCATGGGACTGCTGCCTCCCCTTCGGTGAGAGGTGAGACCTGCTGCTTCGTAGGGTCATGGCTTTTTCCTCTAACGCTGTGGAGACGGCCTCACTGTGCACCCGGTTGCCCACGGTGTGCATGATGTCATACTTGGGCTCGACCTTCTGGGATAGAGGAGAATTTTTACTGTGTTTTTCATCCGAAGAGTACTCTTCTGAGAGGGGCACGTGATACTGTTTGGGTTCACCATTTGAAAGGGCGGTCCATCCCCATTTCTCTGTACTGGGATTCTCAACCCATCTGGAGTTCTGTTTCGTGAGGTTTGTCTTTTCTGGCAGGTCCCTCCCCAGCCAAGAGCCTCTCTCAGGCCTGGGTTTGAGCTCTGAGACACGGGCATCCGCCACATCTCTGGGGGGTGTGGCCGAGGGACGAAGTCCCGACTGGTTAGCCACTGTGTGTCTCTCCACATGATGCTCAAACACAGTAGCCCACACAGTCTGGAAGCTTCCATCATCTTCTGGAGTGCTGTCAGAAGGGTTCAGATTCCCCACCAAGCTTTCCCCTCGATAGTTGACAGGGACTTGGTTAGAACCGTCTTTCCACTCTGTCTGCCTAGACTTCTCCCGGAGCGTCCCAGGCTTCCAGGGGCTTCTTGGAACGGATGTTCCATCCACACCATGCCCTTCCTTTTGCTGGAAAAAAAAAAAGAAAGAAAGAAAAGAAACAATCCAATTTACGTTAAGGGATTTGAAAGAGAAAGGAGGAGGTGAGCTGATCAAAACAGCTGATTTTAAAATCAAACCATAAGATACCATAAAATTCTAAAGACTGAACACACCCAGTGTGGGTGAGGATGTGAGAAAATGAACACTCTTGGGTACTGTTGGCAAGGACATAAATGGGTACAACTTTTGGACAGTTCAGCATTCATGTCATGATCTTAAAATACCCATTTTCCTTTTAATCTGGCCAATTTCCTCCCAAGATTCTTTTTTTGCTTCACATGCCCAAGTCTGGATAAACAAGAGTGCTCGGGGAGCACTGCAAAGAGAGAAAGCAAACCGACACAGAAATAACCTAAATGCCCATTTGTGGGGCACAGGCTAAATGAGCCCTGACATAATTCAGACAATGGAATGCCACAGGGCACCTGCATCCACAGAAGGGGAGAGGGTCCTCATGTCACCTCTAACAACACATAAAATACTGTGGTGTGGGCGAGAGAAGAGCAGACTGTGGAACAGTGTATTTATAAAACAATACCGTTTCTCAACAACTGTGTGTGTATGTGTATATACATGTAGATACACAGTGGAGAAAAGATACAAATCAAACTGTCAGGAAGGGAGTGAGGGGAGGAGGAAGGAATGAGGAGAACATCGCTTTCCCTCTTACACACTCAGTTCTGTTCGGTTTTATAATATACATGTATTACTTAGTCATTTCTTAATCTATAAAGATGTCTACTTAATCTAGAAAGAAGTCTCCTTCAACAAGTTAAGGAAACCACCATCTAACCCACCAATCCCATTCCTGGGTAGATACCCAAAAGAAGTGAAAAGAGGGGTTCACACAAAAAATTGTGCACCTATGTCTTTTTTTGTGTGTGTGCACCTATGTCTACAGCAGTACACTTCACAATCTTCAAAAGCTAGAAATCACCCAAATGCCTACCTGCAGAAGAACGGATAAACAAATCATGGCCTATCTATACAATGGGATCGTATTCACCCGTAAAAAGGAACAAAATACCGATTCATGCTCCAACATAGATGAACCTTGAAAGCAATATTCTGCTAATTGAAAGAAGCTAGACATAAAAGGATACATGTTTTGTAATTCCACTTATATGGAACTCAGAACAGGCAGATCTATGGGGATAGAAAGTAGATTCGTGGTTGCCAGAGGCCACAGGTGGAAGAGGGGAAGTGAATGACTAGCTAAGGTTTCCATTTGGAGTGATAAAAAATTCTGGTGGCAGCTGGATAGCTCAGTCAGAAGAGCATGTGGCTCTTAACCTCAAGGTCATGAGTTTAAGCCCCACACTGGGTGTAGAGATTACTTACATTTTAAAAAATAAATAAAAATAAATAAATTCTGGAACGAGATGGTGGTGGTGGTTGTATAATGCTGAGAATACACTTAATGTCACTGAATTATTCACTTTAGAATTGTTAGGATGCAGTGCTTGGGTGGCTCAATCTGTTGAGTGTCCAAATCTTGATTTCAGCTCAGATCATGACCTCAGGGTCCTGGGATGGAGCCCCATCTGTGTCTCTTGGGCTCCCCACTCAGCAGGGAATCTGCTTGTCTGCCTCTCCCTCTCTGCCCCTCCTCACCCCCACTCATGATCTCTATCTCTCACAAAAAAATGAATCAATCTTAAATAAATAAAAATAAAATAAAATAATTAGGATACACACAGAGCTACAGTTTGCCAATCTCTACTGCAGATGATGGAATGCCATTAAAGAATTCAAAAGCTATTTTCATTTAAAGTGTTGACTCACATTTTATTACATAAAATTTGCATACATAATGTATGAATCCATTCTCTTCTCTTTTTTTTTAAGATTTTATTTATTTATTCATGAGAGACACACAGAGAGAGGCAGAAACATAGGCAAGGGGAGAATTAGGCTCCCTGCAAGGAGTCTGATGCAGGACTCGATCCCAGGACCCTGGGATCATGCCCTGAGCCAAAGGCAGACACTCAACCACTGAGCCACTCAGGTGCCCCTGAATCCATTCTTTCTAAACAAGACAAAGCTCAAGTCCTTTTGAGACTTCAAATATTTTACTACCAGTGCCCTTCCTGGATAACAGCTGTTATCAATGGGGAGGAGGGTATCTTTGAAGAATGTTCTGGAACTTTCTCCTAGTATTGTGTGTGTATATTTTCATATATGTTTGTATGTGTATATATATACATTTTTAAATTTTATTTATTTATTTATTTGAGAGAGAGACAGAGAGCAAGTGTGAGCTGGGGGAGGGACTGGGGGAGAAGCATACTCCCTGCTGAGCGGGGAGTCTGATGTGGGAGTCCATCCCAGGACCCTGAGATCATGACCTGAGCTGAAGGCAGATGCTTAACCAAGAGGGCCACTCAGGCACCCCGAGAAAGATTGTTTTTAAATTTAAAAATATATTCACTGTTCTCAAAAAAAATTAAAATTGTATATTTCATGTTATGTGTCTTTTACTACAATAAAAAGAATTACCAAAAGAAAAATCTATTTACAGAGATCAAATCTCTGTAATCTCAAATAATAAATAAAGCAAGGAAGGGTTCCTTTATCAACTTTCATTTCTTAAAAGTTTTCCAAACATATACAAAAGTACAGAGAAAAATAATAAATTCACCTCAACCCATCCCCTAGATTCAATGACAACCAGCACTTTGTCCCACTTGCTTCACATGGTCCTTTCGGTTCTTGTTACCACTACACCATTTTAATGCGAATATAAGAGGCTTTACTTCAATGGGACCTTCTCTCCACCATTTTCAAAGAAGTGTTTCAGAACATCCAAGGACAAAAAGCAGGGAAAACCCCACCTCAGGAGTGGTGGGCACTGCCCCTCGGATCCAGCTCACAGTGTACAAGTGGGCTCGCCAGCAAGCTCTGGTGTTTAAAAGTCTGCATACGTGTCTTAAAAAGTGAAACCTCCACCTACCATACCATCCAGCCATTCCTAGGCATTTACCCAAGAGAAAATAAAATCGATGTCCCTACAAAGCCTTGCCCACAAGTGCTCAGAGCTCTTTTACATGCAAAGGCCCCCAAAACAGGAAACAACCCAAACATCCATCAACAGGCCAAATGGATAAACAGATCATGTCTGCCCACACAATGGAATGCAACCCAGCTACAGAAAGGAATAAACTATTGATACACACATGCACACGATATGACACATCTCAAAATAATTATTCTGGGTGAAAGAAGACAGATCAAAAAAAAAAAAAAAGCACTGGTTGCATTTATAGAAAAATCTAGAAAAAACCTACAAAATGCAAACTCGTCTAGAATAACAGAAAACAGATCAGTGGCTGTTTGGGGGTAGGAGGAGGGGACAACGGTGGCTACAAAAAAAGAAACTTGCACGTGCCGGAGATGTTCGGTATCGTGATGGTGATATAGTTTCAAAACTCATATATATGCTGTTTAAAAAAAAGAATTAAAACTCTGCACGAAGCATCAACCACAAATGGGTCAGACCTAGTGGTTATTTTATGAGCTTTTCCTTGTTAAATGGATTAAATAAAAATACTTTTAAGCAATTCAGTTGCTGGTATTTTTCCCTCATTCTGCTACTGCTAGGTGATGAGCTAAGGTAGGGAAGGGAACAAGGACCCTGATAAGGGAAACAGAGGGAATTACTATTAACAGTTTTAAACCTAAATTTTAATTTCTTAATAAAGCAGGTGTTCGTACCTAAGAAAGCCAGGTCCCTCTTCCTCTATGCACAGGAAAAAATAAATACAACCTGGCAATGACATTTGTAAATAATACTTAACACTAAGGAGAGCAGAATCACAAACCCAAAAGGGACTTGAAAAGTGCTTCATGAGAGGCTTCTAATTCTTTTCTGGGTCTTGTAGATCACAACAGCTCTTTTTCTAGTCACTAAAGCTACCCACTGGAAAACAAGATGTGCCACACACAGGACTCTTTCCTTACCTTTTCCCCAGGTTCCTTAGGAAGTTCACCACTCAACTCAGAACACTTCTCGTATCTGACATCATTGCTCGATGCTGGACTTGAAAACCTGGTACAGAGATCCACGTTACTTGTATGGGACCAGAATCTGTGATTCCCTCCAGCCCACACCCTGCAACTAGCTCAGGAACCAGGAGTGAGGTCAGCATTAAAATCAACAAAGTAACACTGCCTGGTTTGCTTTGAGAAAAGATGTGTCCTCTCCAGTTGCCAAACCAAGAAGGGCCCAGAGGGGACAGCTTACCTTAAACACAGCATCATTGGATGGCAGGAGCCCCAGGCTTGGGTGAAGAGACCTGAGTGCTAGTCCCAGCTCTAACTGCCTCCCCACTTCAGGAGCTTGGGTCATGCTTGTGACCTCACCTGAGCCTCTGTCTCTTCATCTATAAAACGGGGATAATTAACACCTCCTCATCATCTTTTGTAGGGCAGATAAGAGGCTACCCAAGGCCCTAATAGCTATGTGAGGGCGTTCAGGGAAGAGTAAAGATGCCCCAGGAGGGATAATTAATGGTTGTTGTTAGCAACCCCAGGCACAACAACCACCCCACCACAGACCTGCCATGGGACTCGGGGGCGGTGGGCTGTCATGGAATGTGTGGGGGCACAGGCCTGTTTCTGCTTCTCTGGGTAACCTTGGCCAAATCATTGCCCCTCTCTGGGCCTCAGTTTCTTCACTTGCCAAGGGGAAGAGAAAGAAAGGGTGTTCTGGAGCTAGAATGTTCCCATCTCTGAAGGGCTCCCTGGAATGGATCCCTAAAGATGAATTTGGGGCTGGGGGCTACAGAGACAAGGGAGGGGAGAGAAATAAACCACTTAACCATGTCCCACTCTACAATCCTCTAGAGTCTGCCTCCTGGGAGGCATGAGGCCGTGGAGGAGTTATTTCCAAACTCAAGTCTCAGTTTCCCCATCTGTCAGATGAGAATAACCCAAGGCACTAGGAGGACACAGGAAAAGGTGTGTGAGATCCCTGGCATGAGACACCTCTTTCTCTGTTACCTTAACTCGGGCATGGCTGCACATGAGAATCACCTGTGAAGCTTTTATAAAAGACCAAGATATGAGCCCCCTCCCCAGACTAAGTCCGAATCTCGAGGCAGGGGGACAGAGGGTGGTGGGGGGTATGCCCAAGGCCTTGGCATTTTTTTCCAGCTGATCCTAAATACTCAGAGGCACTGGTCTCACCCTGGCCAGCTGGCTGTCCTGGTTCCCAAGGGCAGTCTGCCCAGAGGTGGCCCCTGGGAGCTCCAACCTGACAAGAGTATGTCAGTGGCATTCATGTCATTAACAAGCTGGCGGACACACCCAGTGGCATCTCCCTGTTGTAGCTGGGAAGCCAGGAAAACAAAGGAGCAAAGAGATGTCAGAGGCCAGCCGAGCTTAGAAAACCATCCACTAGCAGGATTCATAATATCATTTGGAGCTACAACGTTGTGACGGCTTCCTCTGGGCAGAGTGAGTCACAGCATTATCTATGAGTCTGCCTTAATCCTTCCAGGAAGGTTTCCGTTTTAAAGACAAAGAAACCAAGGCTCAAAAGGGGGAAGGGTCTTGCTCAAGCTATCTTGACCCATTGGATTTTATTTTGGGGGGCCAGGCATGGAGGCTTAGGCCAGACAGTCACGTCCTCAGGCTTCTGGAAAGGCAAGGTTAGCCAGAGACCCAGGCTGTGCTGGAATTCCACGGGGCTCCAGACTTCCTGGCGGGATTTCACCTCAACTATCCGCATCTGTGAAATGGGCACAATACCTCCCACTGCAAAGCGCAAAGGAAAAGGAACTGCTGGCAGAGGCTGGACCCAGAGGGGAGCTGCGTTACCTCTCCACAGCCCAGCTCCTATCCTGAGAAGCTAAGGCCACCTCCTCTCAGGGGCTGGGGGTACATCGAGGTGCAGGGGGATGTAGGTTGTAAGGTGCCTAGTGCAGAGCCTGGAGCCCGGCTCCCTTTCCCAAGGGGCCTCTGGTAAGCGGTGTGAGGCAGCTCAAGGCTGAGCGAAGCCCGTGGCACGTTCCCACTTACAGTTTGGTCAGATCCGCCGACAGCGGCCGTGCCTGGAAGGTCTTCCTCCTGGGCTCTGGCTTGGCCTCTGAGCTCTCGGCGGCCCAGCCTTTGATCCGCTCCTGGACGCTCACACCCACTTTCTCAGGCTCCAGGGCAGCTGGCGGAGGCTCGGGGGCGGCCAGTGCGGGCCCAGATTCTGCTGCCGAGGTCAAGGTGCTCTCCTCCACAAACAGGCTGACGCGCCTCTTGACGCTGCTCCGGGGGGTCCACGCTCCCTCCAGCCGGCTGTCCCCGTCAGCTGCTCTGCTCTTGACCTCAGCCAAGTCCTGCTCTCTCCCAGGTCTGGGTGAGGGGGACGGGGGCGCCCTCTCGGGCTCCCTGAGCGGCTTAGCTTTCTCTTCCCCAGGCTGCTGCTCATCCGTGGGGGTGCCCCTGGCCAAGCCCCCCGCAGTTCTGGGGCTGCCTGTCTCCGCCTGCCTAAAAAGCACCTTCTCCCTCTGTTCTCGGGTCTTCCTGGCTACTTCCAGGGAGTCTGAGTCGGGGTCATGAAGGCGAGGGTTTTCTTTGACCAAACACTCGGCATCCACTTTGGGCTCTGGGTCGGACCTCTCAGGCCCCCGCCACTGGACAGGGGAACCTGCGGTGGCCTCATCCGCCACCCTCTTCAGCAAGGCCTCTTTGCTCTCAAACCGGGCTGTGAGGTCCATGGACAGAGGCCTGGGCCTCCTCACCCATGTCTTCTCAGGCGGGGTGGGGGGCGCTTTGCCCCCAGTGGCCGCCCCGCCGGGGCCCGGCTTCTGAGGCTGAATGGATTCGATGAAGACGGCCGACACGGGCCTTCTCCTCAGGCGAGGCCTGGGCTCCAGAGCGGGGTCCCCCGTGTCCTCCACACTGCTGGCCTTCGACAGAGTCTCACTTGGGCCTGCCTCCTCCTGGGGGGCAGCTGACCTGGTGTCCTGCGACAGGGAGGCCGGCCGGGGAAGGGTCCCAGGCTTTCGGGCAGGCAGGGCAGGCTTGGCGGCCACCTCGGGCCGCGACCCCGACGTGGGCTCCTGAGACACACCCGTGGTGGCCTCCCGAGCCCCCTCACCGACCCCCTTCCCCAGAGCGGCGCCGGCTTTGCTGGTTTCAAAGACAATCATGGTGTTGGGTCGGGGCCGCAGGAAGGTGGTCTTGTGAAACAGAGACGAGCTTCTCCTCAGGCCCTCCCCGTTCCCTGCCTCCTGCCCCACCAGGCCGGGCATCTTGTCACCCAGGTCCTTTCCCACCAGGTCCTGGGAGCGCCCACACGGAGGTGCCGGGCTGGCCGGGCCGGGCCCCGAGGACGGGACAGGGGCTTTCACGTCCAGGGCCTTCTCCCTGCAGAAGGGCTTGGGGGCAAGTCTGGGCAGCGGGAGCAAGCGGGTCGGGCTCCTCAGGGGGCTTTTTCCTTCCAAGAGCAACGCCGAGGGCGCCCCAGGGGCATCACCGGCCTGCGCGAAGTAGGTCCTCTTCAGGGTCTCCTCCTTGGCGATCTCGCCGAGGCCCGGCACTCCTGTCAGGGAAGTTATGGAACCCACCTCGACCCGCGTCGCCATGGCTACGGTCCTGGATCCATGGGGATTAAGAACATCTGAGCTAGAGAAGCAACCACTGAAAGGGAAAAGCAAAGGACAGGAAAAAAAAGGTAAATTTAAATCTCAGTCAACGTCTGAGTCCAAGCAGAGCGGTTAAGGAGGGGGAATGGGCCCAGGAGGCCAGAGCTCTCCACCAACCTCACCAGGCAAGCCTGGACCAGCCTCTCCACCTCTCAGAGCCCTGGGCAAAGGGAGTGGACTGGATGGGCCACCTCTGAGGATGGGCCACCTCTGAAGGCCCAATGGTGGGGAAAGGGTGCAACACTGTCTAGGACTGGCCCCACTCAGCTGATCTCAAGGCCAGCTCTCAGGGTAAAAAGGGATTATCATCTCAGCTGCATAGAGAAGAAAACCAGCTCAGCTGGGCCAAGGAGCTGGCCTGATGTCACTTAGAGAGCAAGAGGCAACATCGGCATTTGAACCAGGTCGGACTCCAAACATCCACCGCATACTCCCAGCAAAAGCCCCGCTGAGGGCATCCTCACGTCCCCTCTCCCGTTTTTCCCAAGTAATTCCCCATTTTGGAGCCTGCCCACATCAGGCATCCCTGCTGACCCTCCTCACAGCCCTGTGCCGAGCACCAAACACAGAGAGGGTAGAGGACCAGCCCCAGTTTATACAGCAGCGGAAAGGAGTCCCTAAGGTCCTTAAGTCCTTAGGGAGTCCTTAAGGTCACAGAGTTGGTCAGTGGCTCCTGAGGCCAAAGCTCAGCCCCCAATGCCAAGAGATTGTCCCTTATCTCCACTTTCCCACCCCTACCCCCTGCTGGCTGCCTTCAGAGCCTCCATGAGAAGAGTAGCGGCTAATGGTGGGGGCTCACCACAGGTGAGGCCTCAAGGTAAGCCAGGCGCTTCGTGTCTTATAAATCACATCCTCTTTATAACCCTACGAGGTGGGTGCAATGATTATCAGACCGCCGTTTTGCAGCGGCTCGGGCGCAAGCCCCTTGGGCATCCAGCTACAAGCTCTGTTCTCTCCAGCCAGGAGCCCTCCTCTCATATTAATCCCTGCACAACCCTGAGACGCAGGGGTTATCGCGATCACCATCACCGTTAGGATGAAGAGTCAGGGCCCAGAGAGGTCACCTGACTTGCCTGCATCACACAGCTCAGACTCAACCTCATGTCCTCACCCCATGCAACGCAGCCTTCTTAAACATTCTATCTTTTTTCGTTTCTGGTCTTAGAAAGAGCCAGACAAGTCACTGTTCTGGATCAGCCCCCACCACCCTGCCCCCACCTTCATGCCTGTGTTCTCTGCAGGCCCCCGTCTAGATGGACATGAAGTAGAAGGTATTTTAGTTAAACGCGAGTCTCCTGCTTCCCTTCCTGGGGCCCCACTCTGCTGCCCCCGGCTCTGACTCACTCGGCAGCCTGCAGGAAAGAAAGGCAGACAGATTTTGATATTTTCTCTTCCTTACACGCTCGATGGTGCTAACAGATTTCTTCTCCCCAAACCGGAGAACGCTGTCTAGACAGGGTTAGAGGCAGCGAAGAGGGCTAGATACGCAGCATCGGAGAATCGGACGATGGCAGGGTTGGAAGGCAGATCGAGTCCTGCCCCAAATCAGGACCGTTCACTTTTAGAAGCCAGTCCCCGTGGTCCCCTGGAAACGCTGCTTTGGGACACACACGTAGCCCAGACACGAGACCCAGAGCAACGAGAGGATCCGAAACACGGAGAGGAAATCCCTTGGCAGAGCCCACTGGCACCCTCCTCCTCCTGGACACTCCGGCCCCACTTACCCGAGCTGGCAGGCCCTGGCTGGGGACGTGTGCCTGCCTGAGAGAGTCAGCGGTGTCACGTCCCATCAGGAACAGGGCTGGTGCACACTGCTGTGGTGGCAGGAGCGGGTGGGGGGTGGGGGCTCGTCCCCCCCACACCCCCAGGCTGAGCCTCAGCAGGTCTCAAGAGACACAGGACCACAGCCTAGGCTCCGGAGTTCCGGAAGTGTGTGCACAGACGGCACAAAAGCTCCAACTGCATCCGCTGGCATCATCTCCAGCTTGTAAAACGCACACTCCTCTCGGCTTCTCAATATCGTAGCAAAAAGAGGGCTGAGTCCACGGTGGGTGCTCAATAGAAATCTCCCCCATTCCTCTGCAACATGTTCACTGAGCACCTACCACGTGTGCCAAGATGAGCAAGAAAAGTCCCCCGTGTTCAGGGAACTCACAGTCTTGTGTAAGAAACACACATGCACACACACACACACACACACACAGCAGCAGCAGCAATTACAACTCTAGGTAATAAATACCATGGTATATAAAGGGGGATGTGGGAGCACAGGATTAGTATTAGCTGCTTAGAATTGGGAATGGTGATCCCGGAAGACTCCCCAGGCTGAGAGGCGACACGAGAGAATGCAAGTTGTTGGCTAATTTGGGAGCTGTTTCTCCTGGCTCAGAAGTATTTGAACATTCCATCTGCTCCAGGTCCTGAAACACCACCTCAGGGCCTTTGCACAAGCTGTGCCTGCTGGCTGGAATACCCTTCTCATTCACACAGACACCGGCCCAGCCCTCAGAACAGAGCTCAGGCATCTCTGCAATCCTCCCCACCCCCAACCACTACACACACACAACCTGGTACAATCTTCCTCTTACATGTCCATGGAGCACCAGACATCCTTGGCAGGACTCGTCATAGCTCCATAGCCGTATTTAATGCTGCCTGAACTTTCACTTTATACTCACCTCTCCCTTTCAACAGCAAGCCCCCAGAAGGCATCCAGAGTCCCCAGAAGCTAGCACGGCGGCCTGACATATAATAGCACTGAATACATACTTGTTGAGTTCATAAATAACAGTTGAATGAATAAATAGATGAATGAAGAGGTATTCTTCTGCTCCCTACTCTTCTTGGATTTTTTTTTTTTTTAAGATTTTACTTATTTATTCATGAAAGGCATAGAGGCAGAGACATAGAGGGAGAAGCAGGCTCCCTGCAGGAAGCCCAATGTGGGATTCGATCCCAGGACCCCGGGATCATGCCCTGAGCTGAAGGCAGACGCTCAACCACTGAGCCACCCAGTAGTTCCCTTTCAAGGATTCTGAACAAGGACAGGTACCTCCAGTTTCATGATGCTAAGCAATCTAGGACACAGGAAGAGTTACTCCGGTTCTGGCAAGCTGGGTAGTGGCCAACGGTCAATTGCTACTAGATGACAAAACCCTGTGAAGAGCTAAGCTGGAAGCTCAATCTGCTGACCTCCCCAAGAGCACCCCAAGCCCCCAGTTTTGCTGGACCATAGGGAGAAGCTCTACTGCTCAACAGGCCTGCTGTCAGCCACCTGCTGTGACCACATTAACCCTTCACTGTCCTGCCGCCAGCTCATCTGCCCAAGTGTGGCTGGGAAGCTTCCCTGCACAGCTTGTCCTGGGGAAGGAAGTCACCCACAGCAACCGCTGGCAAATTAGGATCAACGGTACATGCGTGTCTCCCTGCTCTGGGATCCTTGAACCCACCCAGCTCAGGGGCCATCCCACAGGGCAGTAAAGGGGGAAAGAAGAGTCTTGGTCCATACTCCTCGTAACCAAACAATGTCTCTGTTATCTGTAATCTGCTTCACATCTTGGGCTTCCTCTTGAGTTTCCGTTTCAAATGCCTGGCAAATGCCTGGTATATAAATATGGCTGTACCAACGCATCTGCGAATTAATACATTAGTGAACAAAGGGGGGAAAAGAGACACGTTTTTTGGTTTTGTTTTGGTTTTGTTTTGTTTGTTTTGTTTTTTGAACCACCACAATAAACAGCTAAGGAACATTTTGAAGTCTCTCCCAAACCTAGAAACACAGGACTCTCAGGGTTTCGCTGAACCTGTCATAAAAAACACAAGGAAACCGATTGAAATGTACGCTTTAAAACCTTACTTTAAATGCATCACATATGTCATGCTTAATTTAAGACACGTCGGTCTCTTCCAAAACACTCCAGAAGCTCGCTCCACACAGGGGCCAGCTGCTATGTCTTGTGTGGCCTCGCTCACTCTTTGTAAATGCATTAGCACTATCGGCCAAAGCCAAGAAAACAAGAGCTCCCGAAGAAAGAGGGGGCGAGGAGTGCGAGCCACCTCTCGGGTTGTATCTATATGAGCCATCACAGAGCGCAGCATCAGGGACAGACGGGGAGCCTGTGGCCACAGTGGGCCAGAGGGCAGAGGATGCCAGTCTGACCTGGAGCAGTGAGGGCACCAGCAGGTACATGCCACCGAACCTTCCAGGTCTACAGGTTAGCTCTTCCAGAGTGGCTTTTGCAACGTCTGAAATGCCCATTTCCTGAATCTTTTTTTTTTTAAGATTTTATTTATTTATTCATGAGAGACACAAAGAGAGAGGCAGAGACACAGGCAGAGGGAGAAGCAGGCTCCCTGCGGGGCGCCCGATGTGGGACTCAATTCCAGGACCCCGGGATCAGGACCTGAGCCAAAGGCAGATGCTCAGCCACTGAGCCACCCAGGCGTCCCTGCAGTTTTCTGCAAAGAAACCCATTTTCCCAGGAACTGAAGCACCAAGCCCCACAATTGTGGACATTCGGCGGGAGTCAATGCAGAGCATCCGTTTGTCCGTGCGCCATCCTACTGACTGTCCTGCAAACCAGGTTCTGTGCTTGGTGCTGGGGGTGTAGCCATGTGGCTCACAGCCTCCTCCTCCTCCCGACCGAACCACATAGGGAGAAGGCAAGAGAAGCACCTCCATTCAGAACCAAACAGTTTGGCAGCTTTTCTCTCAGATTCAGAGGCGTTGATTCGTTCTAACAGCTGCTGCAGATCTTTCGTAATTACACCCTTAAATCCGATCTGGGAGCTCACCAGTCATTCACTCAGCCATCTCTGGGTGCCGTTTCTCGGGAATGCCACCATCTGCTGAGGGGTGTGAGCCAGTCCTCACGCCTTCCAGTGTCTTCCGGAATGTGACCTGGCCTCCCAAATCTGCAAATCCACCCTGCGTGGCGCCCTGCGGGAGGTGCCAAGTGCAGGCCCGCGTCCCTCCCAGGAGGGCAGGGCTGCAGT